TGAGAACTGAGGCATGCTAAAAGCTTTGCCTACTTTTCATTGCCCTCTCTGGGCCTGATGTCTGGATTTTCTCATTTAGTTTTGTCCTCGGGTGAAATTTCTCATCCCTGAAGGTAGTGGGCTACAATTAACTCATTAACTCCTATCATGCCCGGGACCACAAGCTGAAAATCACTTGCCTCTGAAAAGCTGAAGCAATGAGTGAATAAATTGTGATGACCCAAGAGGAAAGCTATCATCTTTACCACCCAGGGGGTAAGGTCTGAGTGGCATCAGTGGTTGAGGCAGTGGTCCTTGAGGTTCTGAGAAGTAAGACAAGTCAGAAAGGGTAGGGGTATGGACAAGTTCCGTAAGTGGCACTGGGCTAGGGAAGAAGTTCTCAACTTGTGGGTCTCAACCCCTTTGGGGGTCACCTAAGACCATTGGAAAACATGGATATCTACATTACGATTCATAACAGTAGCAAAATTACAGTTATGAAGTAGCAGTGAAAATAATTTTATGGTTGGGGGTCACCATCGCATGAGGAACTGTATTAAAGGGTCACACTCAGCATTCAGAAGGTTGAGAACCTCTGGGCTAGATGGCTTCCCTGAGTTTCCCCATGAATAGATTACATAAAGATGAGGAAGGTCCAATTGACAATGTAAGCCAAGCCCTGCAGCTATGGTGTGAATGTGTTCCTTCTGAAACTCTGGGCCTTTAAACAGTGATTGGGCCAGCAAGGGCTCCTCCTTTGTTCCTGGGATTAAGGGCTTTATGAAAGATGCTTCCTACAAATAGCTCACAAACATGTGAACAAAAAACCAGGCATATCTTCCACTATCTTTCACTTGCACTCTACAAATCAAAACTGCTTTGAGATTCTGTCTTATCCCAGCCAGAATAGCTATCAACAAATAATTGAATAAATAAGTGATAAAGACTGGAAAGAGGGAGGGGAAAGGGGTCTTTATTCACCGTTGGTGGGACTGTAAATCTAGTTCTGTGTGTTAGTTACTTTTCTATTGTTGTGACAAAACAACATGATCATGGCCACTTAAAAGAAAACACTGAATTGGGTTTATGGTTTCAGGGGGTTAGAGTCCGTGATTGTGGAGTAAAGGTACAGCAGAGAATTTACATCTTGATCCATAACCACTAGGCAGAGAAAAAGTATTGGAAGTTCCCTGCATCTTTTGAAATCTCAAAGCCCAGTGACACATCTCTTTCAACAGGGCCACAGCTCCTAATCCTTCCTAAACAGTGTCACCAGCTGGTGACCAAGTATTCAGATATATGAGCCTATGAGGGCCATTCTCACAAAACCCACCACATTTAGCTACTATAGAAAACAGTGCAGCAGTTTCTTGAAAAAATAGAACTTCTGTATGATCCAGTTATAGCACTTCTGCATATTTATATGAAGGAAATAGAGTCACGAACAACAGAGATACACACCAATGTTATCACAACACTCTTTACAGGTAGTCAAGATGCAGAACCAGCCTAGGTGTCCATCAACTAATGAAGTGACAAAGAAAATGTGGTATTTACACACACACACACACACACACACACACACACACACACACACACACACACACAGAAAGGTTTATTTAGTTATAACAAGAATGAATCAGCTGGGCAGTGGTGGCTCACGCCTTTAATCCCAGCACTCGGGAGGCAGAGCCAGGCAGATCTCTGTGAGTTCGAGGCCAGCCTGGGCTACCAAGTGAGTTCCAGGAAAGACACCAAAACTACACAGAGAAACCCTGTCTCGAAAAACCAAAAAAAAAAAAAAAAAAAAAAAAAAAAAAAAAAAAAAAAAAAGAATCATGTCATTTGCAAGAGAATGGATGGAACTCCAGGACATCATGCTAAGGGAAATGAGTCAGGTATATAAAAATAAATAATGTATGTTTTTTCTCATGTGTGGAAGCTGGGGCCAGGGGAGATGGCTCAAGAGGTAAAGGTGCCCATTAGGGAAACCTAATGACTTGAGTTTGTTTCCTATATCCCACTGTAGAAAGAGAAAGGCAACATCTGAAAGTTGTCTTCTGACCTCCATAGATATGCTATAGAATGCCATGGCATGCTGAGGCATATGGATGCCTATACTCACACAGACATCATATAAACACAAATAGTGATGATGATGATGATGATAATAATAATAATAATAATAATAATAAAATAATCTGAAAGTAGAAGTATTACTAGGGAAGAAGAAAGCATGGGATGAGGAGTAAGAGAGAGTACACACAATCTAAGCATCATATGTTCATGTAAGGAAATGTTATGAGTCCATATAATTGATATGTCATTAAAATGGAGGCCTGTACAATGTTTGGCTGACTTGTCCTTTCACTTTCTGTCATCTGAAGACACAATGCCCCTCCCTTCTAGAGGACGTAGCCTTGAGGAACCATCTTGGAGGTAGACAGCAGCCCTCACTAGACAATCCCTCCCACCAGAACCTTGGTCTTGGACTTCACAGCTTTCAGAATTGCTGAAAAATAAATTTTTGTTTTCTTTTTTAAATTACCCAACCCATGGTCTTCTGTTATAGCAGTGCACACAGACTAACTCACGTGTGAACATAGGGTAGAACATGCACCTTCCTGGAATGGCTTTACTTCAGTCTCTGATTATTAAGGGGGTGAGACTGGGAAGTTAGACACTGTTCCTGGAGGCACTGATGTGAGGAAATATGTCCTTCCATCCTCCTGAAATTCTCCCGCAGCATTTTCAGTTGGCTCCTCAGACTTAGAAGCCTACACAGGAAAGCTAGGTGAAGTTCCTTCCACTCAAGGCCCTGCACACCTGACCGAGCCAGGGCTGGGCCATTAGGTAGTTAGTTAGCTCAGTGGTTCCCAGCCTTGGCTGCATCTCAGAATCGCCTGAGGAGCTTCCCAAACTCCACCTCAGACCAGTGAAATCAGACCCCCTGGGGGTAGGACACAACACAACTGCCTGAGTGGCTCCAGACTGCAGCCAAGGCTGAGAACTGCTGAGTGTGTGGGCTTCTTTTTAGCACAGGTGAGGCTGCAATGCCTGCTGTGGCTTTTCTTATCTTCATCCCAGTGAAATGGTTTGATACTTCACTTCTATGGTAGTCATTTTTTTTTTAATGTATTTGTGTCCTCTTTTTCTCTTTTTCTTTTAGTGCTAGGATTTGAACCCAGGGCCTTCCACATGCTAGGCAAGGACTTTCCCCCTCCCCACTGAGCCACAAGTCACACACCTTTGAACCCTGAGATTTGGGGTCACACAATTGATGGGATTCAAATCCTTGAATAGTGATGAACTAGCCATGAGTTCAGCACAACTGGCACGACTAACTTACATATGACCTATAAAGGTGTCTCTAAACTGCCACTATTACATACTGTTGAGTGGTGAACTGTTTCCTGCCTTGCTGGAGTTCCTCAGCCACACCACGGTATTCTATATGCACTCGAGGTAAAGTTCTTTTCTGCTCTAGTGAGCACTTCTCTCTGTGGCATCAAGTTGGCATTCTGTTGTGCATTTGACCTATTTGTCTCATATTTATAGTCAGTTCTAGCCATGGTATAGAATACCATTTATTGATACCAATTTGCGATATACTTCTGGGAGACCAGAACATGTAACCCAAGAAGATAAATGGTTTGAAAAATCTTTTTAAGTGCATATGTGTATAAAAAATATGGAAGTCATTAAGACCTTCAGAACAAAATTATGTTTTGCATTCAGTCTATCTGCATTTTCTACTGAAAATATGAATTACTGATAGGCAGGCTCCAGAATGGCCTCCAATGTCATCAACCTCTTAGTATTCATGCTCTGGTGCCTTCCTTGTCCCTTGAGTGTGGGCTGGATTTAGTGACTTGAGTCTAGAGAGCAGATTACAGTAGAGTTGATGAGACACCCCTTCCCAATTGGGGATGTAAAGTGACTATCTTTTGCTTTCTCATGTGCTGTGAGGAAAGCTCACTGTCATGATGTTATTTGCTCTATATGGTGTAGCTGGAGAGTTTCTCCCCGGGTACCGCCAAGCCCCGGCAGTCCCGCAGCCCACTTATAAAATAATTACTCAGATGCTTATATTACTTATAAACTGTATGGCCATGGTAGGCTTCTTGCTTTCTGTTCTTATATCTTAAATTAACCCATTTCTATTAATCTATAAGTTGCCATGTGGCTCGTGGCTTTCCGGCATCTTACATCATGCTTCTCCTCATGGCAGCTGGCAGTGTCTCCTTGCCTCAGCCTTCCATTTCCCAGAATTCTCCTCCCTCTTTATCCCGCCTATACTTCCTACCTGGCTACTGGCCAATCAGTGTTTTATTTATCAATCAATCATCCACAGCAATATGGAAAACCTCACAGCAAGGAAGGAACTAGAGGATCTCTGACCACCAGAAGGAACTGAGATGTCCCAGTCCAATAGCTCAAAAAGAACTGTATCTTGGGCTTACCCCAGATGGACTTCAGATGAGACCACAGCCCCAGCAGAGCTCTTGGTTGCAGTCTTGTGGGACATCTCAAGCCTAACAATGTCCACCTGACCCACAGAATCCAGGAGAGACTTGTTTGCAACGTCAAGCTGCTTAGCTTTTGTTTAGTTTCCTATTCTGTGATAGAAACTAACCCACATATCTAGCGTTTTTTTTAGAAATTACATTTTTTAAAACTCCTAGGGACACACTTGTCAACACATTCAGCATTGACTTCTTAGGCCCCACTTCCCTTTCCTGTGCCAAGTCATTTCTTCCTGATGTTGCCTGAACTGCTCAGGTCCAAACACCTGGATTCTGAGCATTGATGAGCCACATACCACTCCCACTGTCTTTCTCTCGGCTTCAGTTTCTTTTCTTTTCTGAACAGGAGTTAGGATAAAACCACCAAGGACTTGTTCAGTCCCTATTTGCATCAGTCCCCTGCTCCTTGGAAAGACCCCCGTCTGTGCATATCATGGGGGAGCATTTCATCTGTCTCCCTGCATTTATTCTTGTTTTCTCTGGTCCTCATTTCAGAAACCGACTGCAAGATCATGACTTTTGGAGCAGGAGAGATGGCTCAGCAGTGAAGATCACTGGCTGTTCTTCCAGAGCATCTGAGCTTGATTCCTAGCAGCCACATTGTGGTACATAAATGTCTGCAACTCTAGTCCCAGGTCATCCAATGACCTCTTCTGGCTTCTATGTTTACTATGTGCACATGGTGATACATAGACATATACAGGCAAAATGCTATATGCATAGAAATGAAGGCTATGATGTTCACATTCTGGAGAAAGAAAATATGAGAAAAGAGGAGCCATGGAGAAAAATATGATCAGGAATTCAGTATTCACACTTGGACTTGGCATCGGGTTAGGGAGCTACTCAGCCATTGGTCCACCTCCTTCAACCAGTGCTACAATAGAAATAAGAATTTCACAACACACACACACAGGCACAGACACACACACACACATACACACACACACACACACACACACACACACACACACACACACACACACACGGGATGGAAGGAGAAAGGGAGAGAGAGAGCTCCTGGAGACAAACTGGCCTCAAACTCTACAATGTAGCTCAGCTTGGCCTTAAACTCACAAACCTCTGGCTCAGCCTCTCAGATCCTGAAATTATAGGCATTCACCACCAGGCCCAAAGAAGTAAATACTGGTTTAAAACATAACTCCAAGCAAACAGCCACACCCTGCACCAAGTCTTTCCTAGAAGTTCTGGATCTGAAGAAGTTCTGGTCTGTACCTTGGGCTCTGAGAAAATGCAGCCCCGCTTAAGACAAAGGCTGAGATGAGCCTCTAAACATCTTCAAATGCAGTCTTCAGAGACTCTCACCAGCCTAGCAGCCATAATGAGAAATTGGAATGATTGTTCAGGAGTCCAAACCCGCTGAATGCGCTGGGAATGTGCTTCTGTAATCATTAGTGGGGTTAGGCAGGCAGGGGGAAGAAATCAAATAAACACCTCTAGCTTCCATCCTGCACCCCTGGAAAAGCAACCTTGTCAGGAGCCTCGCCAAGGAAGGACAAAAAACTCAGAACTCCTCCGTACCTCGGATCAGAACCGGTCTGTTTTCCCCACTAGTGTGACTCAGTGCATAGGCCCAAGAAATTCCACTAAAAGCCTAAAATGCTGTACTTTGATGGGGGATTGAGCACTAAACGTTCTCACAGATCTGCAGGAGCTGGGCAGATTGTAGGATCATAATAATTCTTACAGGAAACATATTCCAGGCTAGACTCACATTTTGATCAAGCTCCTTGGATAGTCTGAAGCTAGACTTCAATAAATACTTAGCAGACATCTACTCAGTTTCTGACTCCTCCTATAACAATCTTTTTGTTCTAGGAGAGGTTTTATTTCCCTGAGAGGCTTCAATTACATGAACATGAATAGAACAGTAATAATAATAGGTGGGCACTTCATGGACGTTTTAGCTTTTTATCAAAGTGGTGAAATACCTGGGAAAGATGACTTAAAGAAAGGTTTACTTCAGCATGGCTTCATAATTTTCAGCCCACCGTCTCTTGGCTTCATAACTGTAGGCTAGTGTTGAGGTGTGACATCGTGGTTACTCACTCCATGGTAGCCAGGGAGCTGGGTGGAGGCAGGAGAGGGGAGACTTACTGACTGAGACTTGGAGGAGAAGGGAGAGGGAAAGAGAAGAACAGAGGAGGAGAGAGGATGAGCTGGGAAAAGTTACGCTTCCAAGTCAGGTCCCCAATGCCACCAGCAACCTCCCAATAATGTTGGTAGTTTCTATCACTTCCCAATAATATTTTCGGGTTATGATCCATTGATGGAATAATCCACTGATGATGGTCCAGTATCTCTGAGCACTGCACTGGGGACTGTTACGGTTGAATGTAAAATGTCTCCCACAGGTTCATGTATTTGAACAGCTGGGTTCCAGCTGTTGGTGATGTTTGGAAAAGTTGAGCCTTTAGGAAACGGGTCACTGGGACTGGCCTTGAGGCTTTATGGTATAGACTCACTTCCTTGTATGCTCTGCTTCATGAGTACCTATGCAATGTGACTGGTCAGATTCCTTTTCCAGCCCCATCTCCACTGACTGCTGTCATGGCTTCCCTACCATGACAGCAGCTGGTGATAGCTTACCATGATAGGCTATATTTCTCTGGAACTGTAACAGTAGTAGAAAGTAATTAAGATCGGGTCTAAGCCTTCAACACACTAGTCTTCAGGAGACAGTTCATATTCAAACTATGGCAATGCAATATCTTGTTTAAATTGAAAACAGTGGGCAGCCATTTTAAATCTATGTAAAAGATGAGTAATGTGAAAGATAACAATATCAGGTCATTTGCAGGGACATAGGCAAGAGCCAGTAGACCCAGAGTCAAGCACAGGACTGGGTGGCTCCAAGTTGGTGCCCCTTGTCACATGCTAATGACAACATGGTTAGTGGGGCTTTCCTAAACCTGAAGACACACAGCTCTTGTGCCACCTCTTCTGGAAATCCCCTTGACCAATGAGGGTGGTTCCCAGGTAGGCTGATGAGCCCATGGGAATGTCACCCTACCCCCATCCCAACACCAAAAGATTCTCAAATTCATGGGTATGAGGTGAGACCAAGGTCTAAATTTGTGTGTGTATATGTGTTTACGTGAGTACACAAGTGCATGGAAACCAGAGGTCCACATCTTCCTCAGTCCCTCTCCACCTTACATTTTTAAACAGGGGCTCTCACTGTGGTAGCTTGAATGTAATTAGCCCCCATAATCTCATAAGGAGTGGCACTATTAGGAGATGACTTTGTTGGAGTGTGTATGATGGAAGGAAGTTGAAGGGAGTGTGTCACCTTGGGGGCAAGCTTTGAGGTTTCTTATGCTCAGAATGCCCAGTGGGTCAGTCGACTTTCTGTTGCCTGCAAAATGTAGCACTCAGCTCCAGCACCAGCTAAGCTCCCTGTCAGGATGATAATGGACTGAAACGCTGAAACTGTAAGCAATGCATCCCAATTAAATGCTTTCTTTATAAGAGTTGTCATAGTCATGGTATCTCTTCACAGCAATAGAAAACCTTAACTAAGACACTCACTGAATCTGAGGCTCACCTATTCATCTAGACTGGAAAGCAGCAAGCCTCAGGATGCTTCCAGCCTCTGCCTTACAAGAACTGGGATTCCATGTGGCCACCACTGACCTGGGGACCAAACTCAAGTCACCATATTCACACAGCAAGTACTTCTCTCACTGACTCATCTCTCCAGTCCCACAAATCTGAATTTTTAAACTAGGGTTCTGTTTGATTCTGACACAGCCCAACCCACACTCATCTTTTGCAACAACTGGACTGAATGCCTTAAAATTTTCTTCCAGAGTTAAGATTTTTTTTTTTTGGCAGAAGTGAGTCACGTTCCTTACTTCTGGTGCCCTGGGAAACAGAGCCCCAGGCATCTGTTCTGTGATCTAATGATCTTCCTGGGTCTTTGATGTCCTAAAGCTGGAGGATCCAGGAAGGTGACTTTTCAATGGATCTATCTAGTCAATGCTCCTTCCCCTCAGTGAGTTCCCTGGAGGCCCCTATTTCAGTCTCTGAGACTTCATATTCCAGAAACCCACCAAGCCCTTCCTTTCGGAATGGGCTGTTTTCATGAATGGCATCCTTTGCCTAAATCCAAACTCCTTGAGCATCTTTTCACATGCTAAGTGGCCTCCATAGTCAAAGATGCTGTCCAAGCTCTGTTTTTTCTACTCCACTCCAACCTAACACTTCATCTTTCTCTGGCCTGCCATATGGAAGCTTAAGAGCTACAGTTCAGAGGAGGTGGACCATCTCCAGATACAGCTACGGCTATGTGACATTTTCCCTAGAGCCTTTCGGTCCGTTTTCTCTGGTTCACTCCTTGCCCTCAAAATGCCCTCTAACTCCTCAGAGTTTTCTTGAGGCTCTTTGTCTGGGTTCTCCTTCTGTACTGAACCATGTTCTTTATTCCAGGTTTTTTTCTGCTCTCCCCATCCTTAGTTTTCACGTGTATTTGTCTTGTTTTCTGTACTGTTAGTTTTCTTGTTGTTGTAACCAAGTACCTAACAGAAGCAACTTAAAGGAAGAGAGGCACTTAGGGTGCATGGTTTCAGGGGACAGTCCATTATGGCAGGAAAGGCATAGCAGAGCTCATGGTGACTGGAGAGGGCAGCAGGGGTGCCTCACATTTCAGCAGACAAGGAAAGAGAGGAGGAGAATATGAGTACTGGACTCATTCCTCCTTTTTCTCTTTTTAGTCACCCCAGACGTCAGCCCATAGATGTTGCTGTCCACATTCAAGGTGACCTTGCTTCTTAAGTCCAACATCTATGGAAATACCCCTCAAGAACATACAGAAGTGTGTCTTCTGGGTGATTTGACATTTGGTCAAGTTGACAGTGAAGAAACTATCACATCTTCCATCCCCTGAAAGTCTATTGAGTTGTCCTCAGTGGCGATGCTATCAGTGTGTAACAATCCCCCCCCAGGCATATTCATCCCGCTATGGAGTTTTCAGAGCTACTGTTGCTCCAACAGTGACACTTGCAGATGAAAGCTCTTTTACACCAAGGGTAGGTTGGAGGTAGGAAATGTCATGAAAGAGGAACACTTCATGGCAGAAGGAACTGACCAAATGGACACATAAAAAATAGAAGCTGCAATCTCCACCTCTTACCTTGATGCCAAAGCTCCCCACTTCACAGAATCCAAGTTCATTCGTAATGTATTTATCATAATGACTTTAAAGACAGTTGCACTCATTGAGAAAGTGCTTTGCAACTAAAAAAGACTTGCTCAGGTTCAAGATACTGTCCCTGCCTCATCAGTGTCTCACAGAACCCTGACAGCCCTATTAAAATTGCCAACTTCTTACATGGCAACCATTTAGAAAGAAAAGAGGCTTGCTGTTCTATCCTCTCTGCCTCACTTTCTAGAAATGAAGCTTTTACTAGGATATTTGCGTAATAAATATCAACGCTGATATTTTTCACCTTGCTTTAAACTCTAACTACAACGTCTTAGACCTGAAGAGTAGCAACTCTTGTGGCTGTCTTTGTCAATGCTAGATATCCAAGTGTTTTTCTGCATCCCATCGGTTCTTCACAGTCTAGGGTAAACGTTTCCTATATCTGCTATTCAAACTATGGCTCTCTTCAGCTCCAGATTTCTGTGGACTTCTAAGAGTCTCTGGATAAGCAGAAATACCTAAAAGAATATTAGCAGCATCCCTCCTTGAGGCTGGTGCAGGACCTCAGAGCTTCTTTCCTGAACCAGGTAACCTGAGGTCTTGGATGCAGATGCTTGTTTTGCTTCCCTGGGCTGTCTTGCTGCGTCTATTCTGAGGTGGATGTGTCCTTCATGGCTGCCTCGGTGATGCTGGACAGTCTCTTCCCAGGAGAAAGGGTTCCTAGAAATCAGTTGTGTTGTCCTAAATCAGGATAAGAGTGAAAAGAAAAATGAGTACTTCTTTCTATAGCTACTTTGGAAATGTTTTTGGCTTTTCTTCTCCTCAGACAAGCTCCAATAAAAGTCAAATTCTACATTCGAAAAGCTCCTTCCTGTTCCAACTTGTTTGCTGTAGCAAGCCTGTGAGGAAGGCATTTAGAGGAAACTAGAATACTGGGAAGTGAAGAGATTTTTTTTTTTCCAGGTCTCACAATGTGTTGAGCATTGAAACCAAGGAAGACAATGGACCGGCATGCATGGTAAATGGGAGCTCTGCTCATAGTGAGAAAACGTGATTTGGTTGATGATTCTCTATCAATAGAGTTCCTCAGATGAAGTGTCAATAGTGTGTAAAGGATGTAATTTATTTTTTACCAACTGGGAGGAATTTGTAATAATACAAAAACTATAGAAATACTATTCCAAGTGGTAATTTGCTCTCTGTGTGTACATATATGAATAAATAACTAACTGTTAAATGTATCAATCTCTCTGTGAGAATGTCTGTTTGCATAATATATGCTCATGTAAGTATCGACTCTTATTGGGTGTTCATCTAGAATATTGCTTTCAGTTTGAACTGTGTAACCTGGTGTCTTGTTTCTTTACTGTTTATTTAAATGAATCTTGCTTTCCCACAGTCCCAGTGTCTTAGTTAGGGTTCCCATTGCTGTGGTAAAATGCCACAACCCAAAGCAATTTTTGGAGGAAAGCATTTATTTCAATGTACAGTTCCACATCACAGTCTACCATTGAAAAAAGTGAGCACAGGAACCTGAAGACAGGAACTGAAGCAGAGGTCATGGAGGAGTGCTGCTTACTGCCTTGCTCCTCATGGCTTGTTTGGTCTGCTTTATTATTGCACCCAGAACCATCAGTCCGGAGGTGGCATTTCCCCACAGTGAGCTAGACCTTCAAAAATCAACCAAGAAAATGTGCCACAGGCTTGCCCGCAGGTCAAAATGGTGGGGGCATTTTCTCAATTGAAGTTCCCTCTCCCAAAATGACTCCAGCTGGTGTCAAGTCAACATAAAACTAGCCAGCACATTCAGATTAAGAATTTTCCATGTTTTTCCAACCAGTTGTTTCAATATTAAAAGGTTGTCAAACTCTTTAGCTGGATGTAGTTGTACCCACCTTGGAGGCAGGAGGAGAAGGGTCAGGGGGTTGAGGCCGCCTTCCAGCTATACAGCAAGCTTGAGGACAGCCTGAGATGTATAAGAGTCTGTCTCAAAAAACAAGACAAGATCACACCCCCAACACCTGCAAACCCACTTCTATGTACATGTGTATGTATGTGTGTATACATATTTAACACATATATGTTAAAATTTTTGGCATTTCGATTTTGATCTTCATGCATATTCTGATTCTCTTTCCTACCATCCCTCTAGAACCTAGAGTCTAGAAGAATTTTACCATGGGGAACACACATAGGGTCATATGGTATTTTGTGTGCTTGTCCACAATTATTTTCAATTACAGTTTTCTAGGGTTTTTTTTTGAGGGGGGGGTTGAATGACCATTCAGATCTGTTCAGTGGGAGGAATCTGCTAGACATCCAAGATGACAGATATTCATATATCTGCCGTTTTCAAACAGAAGCCTTTAAATTACATTTTCAAATAATGTGGTCATCAACATCCTTATTGACTGTGCCTGTACTAGAAGAAAACACTCAAGCTTTTCAAGGTTCTTCTTGCTCATAGCATCCTGAGTCAGAGTCCTGTGGATAATGGCTGGATAGCAGGATGGATGTACATGCATTCTGTAATTCTTAGAGACTGTGCCAGATGTTACTGGTACTCACAGCCTCATCACGCTGACATCTGCCAGACTCCAGTGTGTGGGTACCTGTATGTGTTATCTAAGGGTTGACCCAAAGCCCATCTTGTCCACAGGTACCAGTGGATTTTCGCTTCACGGGGAAACCTTTGACCAATAACTGACGGGAGTTGGAGTATAAATGCCACCATTTTCCCATTCTCTGCTGGGATAATCTTGAGATTCATATCCTCCATCCTTAGAATTTCCCACTAGCACCGGGATTGTATTACCCCCATGGTTACTTACTTCATAGCTTCTGCCACTCCTCGCCTTCACACATAGAAGGTGGCTTTCTGGAGTCATAACACAGATTAATTACTTATGCTGGAACTTTTATCTGCTACTGGATGGTGAAGCAAGATAGATTTGATACTGCAATCAGTTTTCTCATTCTGCTGTTTTATTTCCTGGTCTTATAAGCATACAAAGCTCCCAATAGGTTTTGTTGTTGTTGTTTTAGTATTAACTACAACTCAAACTATAGTACCACAATACCTTGTCTTTGTGATTGATTTTATTTAACTTAAACTCAGACATTATGCTTATTCCTGTTATACTCTTGGCTCATTTCCATATACCAACCTAACCGAATAACTTTGAATATTGATTTGTTCTTTTGCTGTGTTATCTATCTCTCACAGACATGAGTCATCCTGAGAAATCTGATAAACATGTCTTCTGTTTTTTCATTCACTTCTTCAGAAAAATGTTGAACACCACCAGTTGGAGACAGAGTTGTAAACCCAACTTCCTCTTCCTTAGCAGTCTAGATTCCTGCAGTAGGAAAGAATGCTCATCGATGCTTACCCAAACTTAATACACAGATTCAACTCATTATAACGTCAGGCAAAATCAACTCGGTTAACTCAGCTGCTTTGCTGGGATGTAGATAATCTGTCATTAATACAGGCATCCAATCTGCAGCCCTATCAGGAAGAAAATATGCTAAGTTGCTTTATTATTAACAATATTGTCTTGCCTACTAAGAACAACTGGATTCTTTTCTCTTGTGTGTGTGTGTGTGTGTGTGTGTGTGTGTGTGTGTGTGTGTGTGTGTGTGTGTTTTATTTTGTATTGTTTCCAAAACAGGGTTTCTCTGTATAGCCCTTGATGCCCGGGAACTGGCTCTGTAGACCAGGCTGGCTTCCAACTTTTCCTCCCAAGTTCTGGAATTAAAGGCATGTACCACCATGCCTGAACTACTGGGTTCATCTCTAAAAGCTTCTAGTCCTTATTGGTTAAAATATTAAGGCAACTCCACATAGTTAAAAGGGAGGTTTATTTTATAGGGTAACTTACAAGTGAAGGGATAGGTTACAGGGTCTGGGAAAGGTGTAGCACAGTCTGGCAGTGTTCTCTGGAGAACTCTGCTCGGTCTACCTCCAGCGTCCAGGGTTCAGGAACCAAGAGAGCCGGCCCATCCGGATCTCCGATCTTCAGAGGTCCTCTCTCGGCTCTGCTTTGTAGGCGTGACAGTTACCGAAGCCTCAATGGGGGTGGCATTTCCAGATCAAAGCTGGAACGGCTAACCACTACAAGTCCTCCTTGTTCTACAAATTTCCCAGGGATTTATGCATGTTGGTGGCAGGATTGGTCTGCTGATAATTGAAGGGTGGCACTATATGTCTTTATTTGTGACTTTTGCCAACATTTTTTCTTACTCACATCTCTTCTTTCTTAACACAGGAACCTGTACTTGCTAAAGTCCTATTTAAGAGCCTGGGTGTCATTTTCTTGAAGACACCAGCCACTTTCACACCTGTGTCCCTTCTGAGGGAAGGCTGATTCTTTCCTGGAGGACCCAGTTTGGCCCCGTGGCCCCATCTCTGGCAGTCACTCTTTAGTCTTCTCAAAGATAGGCTTCTCTCTCTTCGTTTATCTTCCCACACCAAATACAGCTTCAAGCTTTAGATAGCTCATTGAACAGCTTGAGAACCCAGGCTTCTGCTGCCCCAGCCCCCTTGAACCTTACGTGGGCAGCATTCGGCCACAGGTCTGACATTCAGACTTCGGTGTGAGCTCTCTCGGGAGCTCCTGAAGGAATTTTCTCTCTCATTCTTTTCTGTTTCACTGTCCTCATTCACGTCCCATAATCCCACTCATTCCATAATCCCATTCATCCCATTCATTTCTCCCTGACCTTGTCCATATGAGAAATATTCTCCTTTACAATGTGACAGTCCAGGATCAAACTCATTTTTGTCTGGACTTGAGGTTAGGTGCCTGGTGTTTTGTCTTCATCTTTCCCTTCCACAGGAGTTTTCCTTTTGGATGCTGCCCAGTTCTTCTAGAACTGCACGAAAAATGCTTCAATCCAGTGAAATGACCCTGAGAGTCAGGATAGGCCCTTGTTCAGGGTCATGTCCTCACAGATGGGTCGACTCAAAGCAATCCCTGGATATTGGAGGGACAAAGTGACTAGATTCATCCTTTCCTTCATCCAGGATTAGGGTCCTTGTCATAAATATTTTCTAGAATGTGTATAGTGAGAGGAAGGGCTGGAGATACCCCCGGGGGAGTTGGAGAGCAAGAAGCTGGTCTCCTAGTACAGATTCTGAACAGCTCAGCCTTCCTCCTCAGGAAGCTATGGGAATCCATGCATCAGGGACAGCGACAGTCAGAATGTTTTCTGCTGAGTAACTTAGGAGTAAAGAAAACCAGCCTGGGCCGTGCAAAAACCATCCGCAGCCCAGGGAGCTCTAACATGCTCTGCTGAGTGAAGCTCTAATGCGCGCCTGCTCCTGCCAGAGTCAGCAGGGGGAGGGGAAGCAGATCAGGGAGCCCAGAGGAAGAGCCAGCCAAGATTCCTGTCTGTACTCCAAATCCCTTCGCAAAGCCATTGCCAAAATCGATTTTAATAACTGAAAGATTTACCTGAGTCAAACATGGTTTTTAACTGGCAGCAACTAATTAATTACCCACCACTCACCTGAACATCACATTGGGATGGTATTTTGATGCTCTCACATATTGAAGAGGACAAGTCACATTTTCTTCTCCAAGTCGTCAATTAATTGAGCCAAATCCTTCATTAGACCCTTGCCTGGTCTTATAGACACTTCAGGGTGTCCTCTGCCAGGATGCCACATCCCTGAGTTAGGGCTCCAAAACTTGTTAAGCAGTTTGAGAAAGTCAGTCCATGTTAACTCAGTATTTAAAAGAAAATCACAATAGTTAACATTAAGAAATCACAGAAACATCTTCATAATTAATAAATGAAAAAAAATGTTCCTGCAGCTAATCAATAAAGTTGTGAGTGAGAATTGATCGGATGGGGAACTCTTCTTGTGGGTACAATTTTTCACCTCTTCAGAACAAAAGACTCCCCAGAGGGCTGTCAACATACCAGACACTAGGAAGTCTGACCCAAAACGGGGGAAAAAAAAAGAAAGAAAAGTAGGATGATTAATTAAAATCTCCATGAGTGACAGCTTTCATTCTGCAGGCAGAAGCAAATAAGAAACTTAGGGAAAAACCAGAGCAGCCCAGGTGACTGGACTTTACCCCTCTTCAGAGGCACTCTTCTGACAGAATGGAATTCCATCCTCTTTGGAAGCTAGAAGCAGGTCTAGCCCATGGTGACCTCGGTGGCTCTGGTTTATTAAGTGCACAGAAACTACATTTCCCCAGGTGTGACATGTCAAATGTGTGGAGATCTACTGGAACAGAAGAGCAGCTGGCAAATTATTTTGATGTCTAAAGGATTCAGCATGTTCAGGAACAAAGAACTCATGTTTCACTAGGTAACTGATCTCAGCAATGTTTGCGTAGATTTTTCAATTTATGCACATCTCCTGATCCAGAAGCAGTGAGACTGGGACCCATGAATCCAAGTTTACAAAGATGTGCCCTGAGATTTGTCTCTAGTTCCCATCAGTGTGTGGTCATCACAGAATTGGTCTACTCCCCTCTCTCCAGGTATACATCCTGGCAACGAGATGCATCTTTGGCCCTCTCCTTTATCTTTATTGGACAAGTCTTAAGTCATGCTATTCATTGAGCCCATGCTATGTGCCCAGAGTTGTAGAAGGTTCGTGAGAAGTATCTTAGTCACTTAAACCCCACCCCACGACAATCTAATATAACAGAGTTATCATCGCTTCACAGATGAGAAAGTGGAGACTTAAAAAGATTGAGTTGTTTGCTGAAGTTCTGACACCAGATTTGAACCCAGGCTCATCTTCTTCCTAGGAAGACTCTCTTACCATTGTGTCATGCTACTGCAGAGAACAAGTCAGTTGGGAGGACACAGGGCGGTGTTCCTGGCTGGCAGCTCTGAACATACATGGACGTTCTTAGGCCTCTCACTTCCAGATTCATAGAACTTTAGTTCATATGACTAAGGTTAGAACAGTGTTTTGTTCCTCTTTGTAGAACATTGGCTAGCAGTCTCTTTTAGGCTACAAAATGATAAAAAAAAAAAAAAAAGTGGTAGAGAAGTAGATCAGAAGAATGCCTGAGATTTTCCCAAAGCAATTTTGGCCAGTGAGCTTGCTTTCTTAGTAGAGTAATGTCTTGGTTAGTGTTCTATTATTGTGAAGAAACACCATGACCATAGCAACTCTTATAAGAGAAAGCATTTAATTGGGGGTTGGCTGACAGTTTCAGAGGTTTAGTCTGTTGTCATCAGGGAAGAGAGCGTGGTGGCATGCAGGCAGACTTGGTGCTGGAGAAGTAACTGAGGGTTCTACATCCAGACCTGCAGGCAACAGGAAGAGAGAGCCACTGGATCTAGATTGGGCTTTCAAAAACCTCAAAGCCCACCCCCAGTGACACTCTTCCTCCAACAAGGCCACACCTCCTAATCTTTTTAAATAGTGCTACTCCCTGGTGACCAAGCATTCAAATCTATGGGCCCATGGGGGCCATTCTCATTCAAACCACCACAAGTAATTATTACCAATCAATGCCTCAAAGAGGCAGGTACTAGAACCTACTATGAATCACTGAAATAATCAGGTAGTTTGTATTTTCAAGACCTTTCAAGTCAAGTACGAGAATCACCAAGGTAGGGAATTCCCTGGTAGCCCCATATCCACTCCCAAGGATATGTAGGTTGGTTGTGTAATTAGGAGTGTGTTAGACAGGGACAGATCTAGTCATTTATTGATTTAGTGCTGTTAAGAAACCTTGCCAAAATAGTGGCTTATAGGTGGGACTAACAGAGAGGAGAATTGAGAGAACAGGAAGGGGAAAGGAGTCACTGCCAGCCGCCACCATGACAAGCAGCATGTGAAGATGCTGGTAAGCCACGAGCCATGTGGCAAGGTATAGATTTATAAAAATGGATTAATTTAAGATGTAAGAAGTAGATAGCTAGAAGCCTGCCACGGCCATATAGTTTGTAAGCCATGTAAGTCTGTGTTTACTTGGTTGGGTCTGAGCGGCTGTGGGACTGGCGGGTGACAGAGATTTGTCCTGTCTGTGGGCCAGGCAGGAAAACTCTAGCTACAGTGGGTTGAAATATATATATATATATATATATATATATATATATATATATATATATATATATATATATATAAACAAACATTTATTAAGGCTATTCAGCAGCAACATAAACAGATCTTACAGAGAAGATGTTCCAGCACCTCTATCTGAGGCCAGGGTGCTGGTGAACCAAAGAATCCACTTACAACATGGCAGCATCCCATGGATGGCACATTGGTGCTGACGGGCTGGAAGCTCAGCAGGGCCTTCTCCTTGGGCAGTCCGGGTTCCTTACAGCATGGTGGCTGGCTTCCAGACAGTGAGTTCCAAGAAAAGAAAGTGGCAGTTGCCGAGCTGCTAAAGCTCTGGGGTAAGAAGCTGCTATAGGGTATATTTTGCCATGTTGTATTAGTCAATCAGTCACAGACCACAGACTTGAGGAGAGGAGACATATAGGTTCATTCCTCAGCTGAAGGGGCACTTCCGGGTCATGTTTCTAAAACCACCACAGTAGAGAGTCTCATCATGGGCAGCTCTGAAAGGAGCTGTGTCATGTGACATGGGCATCTCTGCCTTAATAGTTCTAGATTCTTTGAAAACAAAATGAGGAAGTTGGACTGTGCTCTTGCCTGAAGGACTCTGACCCTTGTTCACACAGAGGTGTGAGGTAGAGTGTGGAGAGAGCCCTCTGGAAGAGTTATTTCAGTTCTTTAAGGTGAACGGTATACCAGGACTCTTTCAGACATGACTGAAGTCCACATCCTTGTGGGGTTTATTCAGCTCAGTGACCATTCTAAGTCTAGTGTGGAACTCTTCCTGCTTCCAGAGAGGGCTATAGAGGTTAACTTACTAGAGGTTGCAAGCTTCATTGTACTGCTGGCCTCTCCCTTTGGCTCACTCAGACTCTAAAGGTTGTTCTTCAGAACAGTGTGTGTTTTGCATGGGGAGGGGGTTGTGAGGGAGTGATGATTGCTCTGTGGTTACTCTTTTTTTTTCTCCTAGATCTGCCTATGAGAGTACCGCATATCCTCATGTTAAGAAGGACTAGAGGAATATGGCCAGGATGTTTAGTTCCTCATTACAGCAAATAAAAAGGATGCTGCTATTTCTGCCGCAGTGCCAGAGAAACCAGGCAGAAGAGCCAGATTACTCGATTCTGCAAACACATGTGACACAAGATGAGAAACTCATCCCAAGACTACATGTAGGTGTGTGAGGTGAGAAGGGGATACTAATCGAACCAAGGGGATCAAGCTGAGGAGATGGATCAGTGTGGAAAGTGGTCACTGGACACACTTGAGGACCTGAGTTTGGATTAACAACACCCACGTAACACCTGGGCATAGCAGTATGTGCCTGTAACTCCAGTAATCGGTCACATGGAGACTGGCAGAGCTATGGAGTTCACTAGATAGCTAGTATGGCCAAAAGGGTGTATTTCAAGCTCAGTGAAAGCCCCTGTCTCAAAAAAAATAAGGTGGAGAGATGATTAAGGAAGACATGAAGAACCTCCACATACACCCCACACAAGTTCATCCACACATACCACACACACACACATACCACATGGGGGAGAACAAGTGGATCGATGTGAAAATGTGACACACACACACACCAAATCTGTATGGTGGATCTGACATAATTATGATATGGCCACTAACCCAGTTATTTTTCATTTTCTTTCCAAGGGATGGTTGAGGGCATTCCTCCAGTATCTGTTTTGGTTGCTGTTGAGTGACAGAAACTCAATTCATTCTGGCTTAACAAAGAAAAGGGTGGGGTAGATTCAGTGGTTACATGAAAGAAAGATGAATCTTCAATAACTGACTGATCAAGAGCTTCAAATAATATCAAGACATCATCTCTCTCATTGAAGATTCTCATTTCAGAAGAAGGCCAAGACAGCATCCTCACTGATTTTAACGTGAGACTCCCAAGTTGTTTGCAACCCCTTCCTTGAGATTTGGGCTACATCTTCTTTCTTTGAATTTCTTCTGTTCTGCTCTGGCAGAAGCTATACAATGGCAAAGACAGTCACCAGCAAAGGCCATCACAGATCAGCTCGGCAGCTGTAGTTGAAAGAATCCCACCAGAACCTCTGCACATGACCTTGGCCATATGCCCAGAGACCTAGGATAGAACTAAACACGACTGGAAAAGGAAGTCAATGCAATGATTCCTAACGATATTCTGCTATACTCTACTCACAGACCAGAACCTGGCATAATCATTCTCAGAGAGGCTTCCTCCAGCAACCAATGGGAGCAGATGCAGAGACCCACAGCCAAACATTAGATGGAGCTCAGGGAATCCTGTGGAAGAGGGGGAGGAAGGATTATAGGAGCCAGAGGGGTCAAGGACACCATAAGAACACGGCCCACAGAATCAGCTAACCAGGGCCCGTAGGGTTTCACAGAGACTGAACTGACAATCGGGGAGACTGTATAGGTCTGAGCTAGGTCCTCTGAATATATGTTATGGTTGCGTAGCTTGGTGTTCTTGTGGGACTCCTAACAGTGGGAGTAGGGGCTGTCTCTGACTCTTTTGTCTGTTTTGGGGACCCCTTTTCTCCTACTGGGTTGCCTCGTCCAACCTTGATATTAGGGTATGTGCCTAGTCTTATTGTAACTTGTTATGCCATGTTTGGTGGATATCCCTGGAAGGCCTGCTCTTTTCTAAAGGGAAACTGAGGAAGAGTGGATCTGGGGAGGGTCGAGGGAGGGACTGGGAGGAGAGGAAGGAGGGGAAACTATAGTCTGCATGTAACATATGAGGGAAGAATACATTTAAACAGAGAAGGAATAAAAGAGAGATCATGGAATGCTAAGCCCTAAACAGGACAGCCACATCACAGTCCCTCCTCTCAAGACTCAGAGATCATTGCAGAAGCAGAGGCAGAAAAATTATAAAAGTCAGAACTGGTGGATGACTACCCGGAAACTGTGTTTTCAAGACATGGCAGGATGGTTGCACCTATGAATCCACACAAGATCCGTATAAGCTCAAGCTAGATGAAAACCTCAGCATGAAGAGGGAAGTGGGCACATATTTCCACCCCCTTTGGAGCTATTAGCACCTGATAGATGCTGGGAGAGGGAGGGTCCATTTCCTTTAAAAGTGTAGCCCCGAGGGAACCAGACAGTTGGTTCAGCAGTTGAGAGCACTTGTTGATTTTACTGGGTCTCGTCCCCAGAACCCACATGGTGGCTCACAACCACCAGGTTAACTCCAATTCCAGGAGATACAAACCCTCTTTGGACTTTGGGCACCAGGCATGCATATAAAGCATACGTGTACATGCAGGCAAAACACGAATACATGCAATATAAAATACATAAAACTGAAAAATAAAATAAGAGTGTTGTAGCTAGAGTTTTCCTGACTGGCCCACAGTCAGGACAAATCTCTGACACCCGCCAGTCCCACAGCCTCTCAGACCCGACCAAGTAAACACAGAGACTTATTTTGGTTACAAACTGTATGGTCGTGGCAGGCTTCTTGCTAACTGTTCTTACAGCTTAAATTAATCCATTTCCATTCATCTATACCTTGCCACATGGCTTGTGGCTTACCAGGCATCTTCACATGCTGTTTCTCATCATGGCGGCTGGCAGTGTCTCTCTGACTCAGCCTTCCACTTCCCAGCTTTATTCTCCTCCTTGTCCCGCCTACACTTCCTGCCTAGCCAATGGCCAATCAGTGTTTTATTTATTGACTAATCAGCAACACATTTGCCATACAGAACATCCCACAGCAGAGTGTAGCCTTGGTAAGTCAACTACACTTCACATATCCAAGGCTACATATCCAACTTTGTGGATAGCACAAATCTAACTTGATGGGCAGGACATAAAGGTGGGTGAGTAAAGAGCACGTGGAGGATCTGGGGAAAGCAGGTATGACCAAATATGCATAAGTGCAAATGTGATCACAACCCACTGTACAAAATTCCT